CTATGTTATCTTCTCTTTGGCTGACTACCGTGGAGGAAGCACAAGTCGTATGCCCGCTTACAGCTGCGACGTCTGTCAAGTATCGCGGGCTGACCCGCCGCATGCGACGGCTGCGGCGTGACCTAGTTTCGACGGACCCGCGCAACGAAGCGCACCCCGGCAAGAAGTGGCAGATCGCAACTCTTACAGTAACACTGTCGAACGTGATTATTCTGGTGGTTGAGGTGCTATTGCATGGGGAGGCATCACATTGCGTCGCCATACCGATCTCCATATTTTTCAAGCATGGAACCTTTTCCAGTCAAGGTCAGTAACTGTGGCAAGGTACTCCTTCCTCATAGGGCTAGGCGACCCTGAATTCAATTTCACGGTTAAAAATCGAGCCATCGAGCGTGTGCGAGATGGACTTAGTACACGCATTGCAGTAGTTTCACATGCAAAATTAACCATCCAGCAATTGTCAACTGCAGCGATAGAGGAATGAAATGCCCTACTGTAGGAAACAGGAGATCACTACCAACTTCGTGCAAAGTATGGAACCGCGTTGCAAGGCATGCCTGTTTTTCGTGACGATCATTCACCTCATTAGGAACCGGGTCACTTCTTCCGAAGTACCAGCGTGAATCGTGAAGTCCTATGTGTGATCGGTATCTTTGTTAAAAAAATCACAACTACCCGCCTTATTCAAATTTTTGTCAGTTGTTTTCTATGCAATACCGCAGTGATTCTCTTCTGGAATNCGCGAATCGTGCGGTCTTATGTTTGATCGGTATCTTTGATTAAAAAAGTCACAACTACCCGCCTTATTCAAATTTTTGTCAGTTGTTTTCTATGCAATACCGCAGTGATTCTCTTCTGGAATGGGTATGAGTTTCATAGGCTGTGTTTCTGGCAGACGTGCTATAATACTGAGTCGATCCTGTCCTTGAACGTGAGATTTCTCCAGGTAAATGATAAAAAATAAGGTCTGGATCGCTGAAAAAATAGATATCACCATGTAATGCCAGCACGGAATCACCAGAATGATGAGAAATGTTAGGATCGCATTTATTTACCATGATGAATTGCCTAGTTTTCTAAAAAAGAAGGAAACCCATTCGTTGGAGACCGATGACATTAATTACACTTAGGAAGTGACAAAAATAAGTGGATTCTCTTGGTTGGTAAATCTTTTCTTTAAACATTCTACAAACATTTGAGACTATTTGTTGTTTAACTGTGGATTAAGTAGCTCGACTAAGCCGTTTGCTCCCTAAAGTTCGAATATAAACACGAAACTGAGCTATTCATACTTTTCATTTTGAAGCAAACGTTGTAAGAGCTCGGAAAGATTCTCTGCACTACTCTTTTTGTTTACATTCTATTATAACAGTAAAGTTTAGTACATTGTTAAAGGCACTGTTCACGAAAAAATGGTTTCGGAGATCTGCACATGGTTTGAATTCG